TTTTGTGTTAACTACATTACCTTAAACCATTTCTATCTAGAATCCACACAATCTTTTGCGACAAGTTCAACATTGGTCAGTAAAAGACTTTAGACATGTAACACTGAACATAACACTTTGTTAAAATACTTGCTAATAGTTTCACCAAACCTATAAAAGCAAACTTGGAGGGTGCAATTTTTTTTTTATGATAGGCTAATACAATTAGAAAAGTTGCCACCTATTTGGCTATGCTTACATGACCATTAGCGTTTAACCCACCCTAAATATGAAACAATTCACACAATGATGAAAATGTGTTCAAATTCATTTGTAACTCCCAAATAAAATTCTTATCACCCCCACTCTCAATGATGTTTTCCAATGCATCTTCCCTAACACCATTAGTGTTCACAGTTTGACTAAAGTGACCATCATCAATCCTTCTAGTTTTATTCCTAGTGTACATATATGTGGTCCGTAAAATCATAAACATCAAGTTGTAGAATCTTTGCTTCATTATCCAATAATATGCAATACACAACTTAACTTTTTCAAAGTAGTCCATCCGTTCCTAGTAAACAGTTAATAGTTAATTCATTGCACATAAACAGCATGATGAAATTACACAACATAACTTCACCAGTTAATAGGCATTTCTAATTCATAAGTTTTATCCAAAACTCTAAGACAAGACTTCAAACAAAAAAATGACTTATTACCTAAAATCTATGGCAAGACTTTAAACTCATTCCATATGCCTAGAAAAAACAGAACATGGACAAATTGTCATAGTTTAATTCAAGAAAAATACACTAACATGCCATTAACATCTAATGGGAGTGTCATACAACATAATATAAGCAAAGCAAAAACTAAGGTGTGATTTTGTTGTTATTAACAAAGGCATATCAACTAAATAGATTGAAGTAAAACAAAAAAAAATGGTAATTTGAAAGCAAAACAAGTTATCAACAAAGCATCTAGTTATTGAATCACACAAATCATGCAAAAAGGAGGCTAAGGCACAATTCAGACTCAAACTAGACAAATAAGTGCCACTAATCTGAAAGTAAAACAGGTTATAATTATGATATATTAATGATAAATAGGTAATACATATGATTCACATGTTAATTCCTTTAATGATGTTCATAACATTTTTTTTTATTTTTTTTCTTGATTATTTACCCAAAAAAAATCCTCAACATTTATTTAAACATATTTCACAAATTGTGTAAAGGGTTCAGATACTAAAATTATGAATACAGAAAATAGATTTGGGAAGGTTGTTCCTATAATGGACCTGTGCAGTACCCGAATGTAGATTAGTTGATTAGTAAGATAGATATCGAGAGGGAGACTAAAAAAAAATAAACAAAGAAAAATACATATCTTATTAAGAAAAAGGGATACTTTTCTTAGCAATCTTGACCAAAATTTACAATAGGCATTATATACAAATATATAAAAATTAGACCAAATACTTGGTTTTATCTCAAACCACAGAAATGTCTATATCAGTTCACATGTTAAGCTTACAAGTTCATGGTTCAATCTCAGTTCATGTAGATTTTTTCATTCCTTAAACAACTCCAACTTTTCTTCTATAAACTGCTCCATGATATTAGGAACAATGAAGCATAAAACGATGAACAACAGGGGCAAAAAAAAAAAACTAAAAAAATCGCCATTGTCATATACGCCACATAATCAAACAAAAGACCTTCACAACAGGCATAGTGAATCACAAAAATACTTTAACATAAAAAGGAATTCAAGTTCCAAAACAACATAAACAAACTCATGCTTTATATGCCACTAGTTTCAAACCATTATCTCACATTGAAAAACCATAACCTAGAAAAATCCATGGTAGAAATTAAAATGCAATGATTTTTTACATTTGACAAAATAGACATTGAAGAATACCTGTACTGAGTTCCCTTGCTCTATTGTTGGCATGTGTTGCAACAAAGTCTGAACCTAGTGATTTCACCCTACCTTCGAATGAATAGAGGAAGTGAGCAAGAGAGAGATCAGACGAAAAATAGAGAGATAGAAATGTTTACTTGTCTTTGTTGATGAACACAAGGTCACTTGCCTTCACTAAAGATCGATGGAGAAGACAGTGTGGGGTGAAGCAAAAATGATGAGTGGGAACAAGGGAGTTTGGGTTAATAAGACAAAGGAAGTGAGCGAGAGGGAGATCACAGGGAGAACAGAGAAATGGAGATGTTTACTTGCCTTTGTTGATGAACATAGGGCCACTCGCTTTCACTGAGAAGATCGATGGAAAAGACGGTGTTGATGAAGCAAAAGTTACGAGGAAGAGCAACGAGAATTAAGGTGAAGGGTAGTGCATGTAATTTTGTAAAATTATCAAAAGTATTTTGGTCTTCAAAAGTATAGCTTCCGTGTCCTTGGAGCTGGAACACTAGTGTCCCTTCTTCTAAGAGGTACAATGGTGTCCTTCAAATCTATGTCCCGCATGTCCTTCTGTGTCTTTGTCTCTCTAACAAAACACTAGGCAAATATAATATACGTATCTCTGTGTCTTTGTCTTAGTATCTCTGTCTCTAAACTAAACGCTACTTAAAAAATAACATTTTTTGTCACAAAGTGGTGTGCTCCTAAAACATAGATTAGTCACAATTTTTTCTTTGCTTTTGTTTAGGATTATGGATGCTCTTTATGTAATTTCTTTTGCTTTTAATATTATAATTATGTGTAATTAAATAATCTTTATCATGGAGATAATGCGGAAACTTGTCAAGTAATAAACTCAAAGTAATAAACTCTAATTTGATTTTATGATATTGATGCCAGTTATTTATTATAATTGTTCATTTGTTGCTATTGCTACATGGATACACTTGTTGTTCTGTCTGTGTGTGTACGATTCCCCTATGTGTGTGTAACGAGATACCTTCAGCTTGTTCTATGTAACCAGTTTCAAGATGTTTACCCTCTGCTAGCTGTAATTTTACTTTTAAAAATTCACTACCATTAGCTAAGTTTAAAAATTAAAAAAATTAGTGAGACATCATATAACATTATATCTTATTTGAATATATGATTAATCCGCATAGATATAACACATTTTAAAATAAATTCTTATAACAAAAAGTTTAATCGTCAACTCAATCAACACCTGATATATGTTAGGTCAACTCTCTTTGGTTAAATTTAATATTTTTGAAACTATAAATGCAGGGCTTCACCCAAGAGGGAGCCCTTCCAGAAATTCTCGAAGGCCTGGGCCAAACCCAGGCCTAAGAGGGGGTTTGGAAATAGTTTTCAACCAGCAATAGACGCGCCTCGGTTAGAACCTCACTAGCTGCGTCATTGCCCCAAGCGCAAAGATGCTTCTAATTGAATCACAAATCGCATTATATACTTACCTTAACGGGTCTGTTGTGCTTCACTCCCCATGTGGGACTAAAAAGCTTTACAGTATTCACCACACTCTCCTCTAAAACAGTGATTATGTCAAAATTAATTCTATTAGTTATTATTTAACGTGCTTTAAAAGGCGCATAAGGTAGATTTCTGGCTTGATTTGCTACTTCAAACTAACCCTCATCACCATCCCTTCGTTAAACACTTCGATAGCAAGCTCTGGCATGTTATGCCTTGGCCAAGCAAACGTCCATTCTCATATTACCTTTGCATCAGAATTATTGCTTTGTTCTCCATCCCTCCTCCCGAATATGTGAGGAAACTACAAAAAAAATAATGATGGGTTTCCAGCCTGAAAAAGAACTGAGACCATTGAGCAGAATCACAGAAGATTGTCTTGTTCTTATGCTCTCCATTTTGTTAATGGGCACTTGAGAGGTATTCCTCTTGGTGCAGAAAAGATGAAAGCCTTGGCAAAAATAGTATCCGTTGGTAGAGAAATTTAGACAAACAGAACACCAAATGAAGACCCTGATGTATAAAAATAGTGAAATTAAGATCAACATACGGAATGTTGCTGTAAAAAAATTTATGCAATTGGATATTATTGTTATGTTACCTTTCACTTGCTTTTTAAATTTCTTACACATTCTATATATGTTATTTTTAGAATGTATCCAAATCACCAATTGTCCTCTCTCACTCTCTCCTGTCTTTTTCTTCTTGGGTCAAAATCGAAATTTAATCCTTAAAAGAAACATCTAATGCATCTCACATCATTTCTCTTAACGTCAATTTCTATTACAGGACGTAATTCCGGAAAGTACTCAAAGGAGGGATAACATACACAATTGGCAACATTCAGCTATGAAATCGAAAACCATTTATTTAAAATGTAAAGCGTTAAGTACATATTTGATTTCTAGAATTTTTTTGTTTTTATTTTATGTTTTCACTTCTAATTATTAACTGCCACCTTGTTTTATTTTGCTTTTTATTTTTAAGATTTGCACAAGAAACAGCGACAACAAAAAATATATATTTTCAAAAGCTTTTGTATAGATTTTTTAAAACATAAAACATAAAAAAAGAACATTTCCAAAAACCAAAAAAAATTTCAAACATCAATATTAGTTATTGGCAACAAAACATACAATGCGAGGTATGATAGAGGTCTCCTACGCATCACGCCATAACAGTGTTGTAGCTCTTTTGAAAAAAATCCCAAACTTCTCTTTCAGTAAGGTTTAATTTTTCCAAGCCAAAACAAGTAACTCATAAGCTTCACATGAGAGTTGATTTTTAGATAAAAAAAGTTTTTGTGAAAATTATTCTTGTTTAGAAAATTTTAGATAAGAAAAAGTTTTATAAACCCTTTAAAACTATTAATCCTATGTTTTTAATTTTTTTAATTTGAAGAGTTTTATATTAACCCTCCAAATTGAAAAAAACTTAAAAACATATGATTAAGAAAGTTTTGAAATATTTGTAAACCCCCTCTCTCTCATCTAAAATTTCCTAAATAAGAATAACTACATAAGTCTTCTCTTTCCTTTTTATTTCTCCCAAAAATTAACTCTCAAACAAAGCCTTAATCTCTTTATGACAGTTTGACCAAATTGAAATTTTATTAATAAAATACACGGGTGAAAAAATTATGATCCTGAACGCCATAAGAAACAGTATCCGCCTAATCACAAAGCCTATGTACACGGTGCTAACAATCCACTAACACAATTAACATCAATTTTTGGCTGCAGGTTTACACTACACAACAATAAAAATTACATAGTTAGCTCGTATATTGTTAAGAGAATGTCATGCACCAGACAATATATCTTCTAAACCCTTTCCTGAAGGGGTATGAAAAATGTTAAAGCAATGCAACTTAAATCGGGAATAAACTTTAGCGGATATATCACGGCCCATGTGTTACTCAGACATAGCATCAGCAAAGTACAAGATAAATCCAACTGGGTCACTCGAGGCTATGCAATACATCTGTATATATGAACTAGTCGAAGTTGAATACCAAAGAAGTTCATTTTACGTGTTTAGACAGCTTCAGTAATCACAAACACGAATTAGTTTCAGAAAAACATCTAAGATTCAGTTGCTGCCCGTTAACCAATTTGCTATATGTGCGCGTGAATTCAGTCTCATTCTCAATCCTTCAGCACACAATGTGCCTCATGTTATGGTACCTTGGCAAAAGAATTCAAACTCAGCCTTTCACCGCTGCTGTTCATATATTTGCGTATAAGCTTCTGAAAGAGCAACCAAATGAGGAAGTGTTTCAGAGACGTGCAAGTCCTGCATCTCATACCTACAAAAGTCAAAGAGTTAGTCCTTGTCATTGTTGAACATCCATTAAGACTAATGATATTTTATCTTATCAACAAAAAGAATTTACCATAGTTCTTCTGATTTGCGTTGCACAAATACTCTATAAAATCCTTCACCAGGTTTGCCATCATGAACTACATTGGCAATTAAATCATATTTAGATCGCAATTTCTCATTTTCTTTTGGAGTAGGCAAGGGAATGTAATCCTTCAACTCCAGATTCTTCACGGGAAAGTTGACTGAAGCAAATATTGACTGGGTTAGGGTCAAATAAGTTTGCCAAAATCAACTTGAATATATTATACAGCTCATTTCAACATAAAATCTTACCTAATGTAGGATTCTTTTCAACAAAAAAGTTATTCTTAGTAAATCGACGCATGTGAAGAATCAGATACTTCGGCAATCTGGTAACACGATACTGCATCCTTGCTATATGAGGACGGACCACCTCTGTGACAGTCTCACCGTCAAATTTCTTTAGTATATTAAAGAGTGGAACCTAGAAATCAACATAATCGGCAGGCAATGAGGAAGAGAAAGAGAGCTTAACAAAATAAAAAGCTAAAATCACATCAGGCCATGAAAACTGAAAAACAAAACTCAGTTCATGCATAGAACTGTAAAATGAACTAATTATCCTTTCTTCAACGGGGATTCTACCACTTTCATTTAACACTTTTACCTCATGGCATTTCCAAGCCACAGAATTCAAATAAAAGATATACAGAGACTACACTAAAATGTCACAGGGATATGGAGAAATATTATGGGTGTGAATTTTAAACTCATAAATCTTGAGCAATAACAAGCCTACAAAATTTGTCTATTCCCACATAAAAGATAGCAGTGATTCTATCCACAATCATTCACCCCATGGTATTTGCAGAAATCTGAAATGAATGCAATCAACCAAACCTACAAGAAAATGGGAATTTCAACTACAGAGAGGTACAGAGGTATTTGTGGCAGAAATTTTAGTGTTGTACAAAATAGCCTCTAAGTAATTTGTCTCTCCCAGTTATATTTTAGAGTTTACAAAAAATGCATGGGAGGCATCTTTCCAAATGAGAAGCCAATGGCTACAGTATATATGCTTTTACTGCAGTTAGAAAACAATCAAAGCTGGGAGCTAATGTTGATGAGAATCAAACCAAGTGGAAATTAACCAAACAAGAAACGCTCACGTCAAAGGTTTTATTGGAACCAAGTCACTATGCAACATAAGATTTGGATTGTGGAGGAGGAGAATGAGCTAAAATCATATATGAATTTATATTTCTTATGAAAAAAATTTATTATTCTAATTTGACTAATTATATATTTTATTGAATCTTAAGTTTATTAATTTTAAGTTTATGTTTAGTTAAATTTTGTGTGATTAAGAGATTATTTCTTTATCTATGTTGTTTTCTATGCTTATATATATGTTTAAGTATAATTTTGTATTTTTGGTAGGATCTTACAATGTCACAATCTCACAATTTACAATCTTATACCCCCTCCCCCTCCCAATCCTGTATAGGATTTTGATTTTGACAATATTGGGCTTTATGACGTCCATCAAGTAATTCATATCCACAGTTTTCCTATTCTTAAATGTCTCTCAAATAACAGTTACAGCCAAAATAACAACATCCAAACTTCAGAGAACGAGAACCTCATTAAGATATATAGACTACAGCATCTCATATGCAACAAGCAAAGTAACATTAAGTGAGGCAGTACCTGGGGTATTATATTTTTTTCCATCACATCCTTGAAAAGCGGAGGTGGTGGCAAGTCCAACCCTAACATTAGAAATGGCATTTTTGAAGTTTCTTTGACAAATGCATATCGCACATTTACCCCATCTGAAAGTTTCTCAGCATTGTTTTGATGTTCATTATTTTCTTTCTTGTCAGTGATCCCTTTGTTAGGAATCTCTTTTACAACCTCAAGTTCACCCTGCAAGCACAGTAAAATAAACAACATACATAATTTAAGTGGATGATTGCAGTAAGCAACAACAATGCATCAACCAAAAGAAAAGAACATTTGAGCGGAAAAGAAAGAACCTGAAAACACTCATAAATTATGCTAGTATTCTTCTTTGAAGTCTTAAGATCTGCATGTAGCGTATTAAGAAGCCATGACATGAACTCAACTGGGTCAGATTGCACACCAATCCGAAACCGTTTTTTACTGGCTTTCATCACTGCTTGCAGAAACTCATGTGGACTGACCTGTGGACAAGCATCTTAAAAGATAAGCCACCAGAGTATATGAATTAATAGATTTACAATGACTGTATCAGAAACAAACCTGTCCTTTAAAGTTTCGCGCATGCCAGATCTTCCTAGTGAGTTCGCCAAATCGATGAACAAGAGGAGATTTGCAGTGTTGATAATTTTCAGGGATAAGGAAAAAGTTCCTCAAGGGGGTAACTCTCATTAAAGATTGAATTGTTACATTCACAAAATCAGTCTCCTTGATATTGTTAAGTCCTACCTGAAAAATTATTGTGCAATGGATAAATATAAGTCATAAAACAGCTAACTGCCAATCAACAAAATGTAAGATTCTATTTTTATAAGCAAGAAAAATATACCATTCCAGGAAGGTAACTAGAACCATCAAGTGCCCTAGACCACTGCTTATTTTTGTCAAGTTGTTCAACTTCTTTTCCAGTAAATCTGCAGATAGAGAACCATATGAATGCACTTGGACATATTTTAGTAGTTGATCTTTAAAAGAATTCAAGGTAATGACAACATAAAATGAGCATAGAATCAGAAATGATAACCATAAAAAGAAATTTAATAAATGTTAGAGCTTAAATATTTAAATGTGATTCTGAATAGATAAAAGTTGAGGTTTGGTCTTCTATGATGACAGCAAGCGACCAATAAGCATCAACCAACAAGCATGTTACAAGCAGTTTGGCACATCCACCGGGAGAAGATAGAAAACAAAAGCATGAAAAAGCTAAATATATAAAACAAATGTCTTTGTCTAATTAATATATAACGAAGAGAAAGAATAGCACTGACGACCTAATAAACAAGGATAGAATCATTATTCCTCATGCAAAACACTTTTTCGGGTACATAAAAGGCAATTCCAATCCCCAAGGTTGGCCAGAACAGTAGGGATGAAGCGCTCCCTGGCTACCAGTCAAAGGCATTGTCTGACAATTGTCCAAGTTTAAGGGTCACAACAGTAACCCTACCGTAGAATGGATGAGGTTAAAGATAACACCAACAAAGATCCAGTGTCATGCCTGACCAAGCCAGGGCCCAGACCTGAGACCCTCACAAACTTTGTGTATGCAGATGACCACTTCAACCACAAGCCTCAGTGAAACCACATATTTGATTTTGGAGTGCCAAGGATAGAATTTTGAGCTTCCAGAATGGGTAAAATTAAATCATAAAAAACTCTTTTTAGCAGATGACATACATTGAACAAAAGATTAAAATATTAATATAGACCCGCGTATTAACTGACAATATTAGAAAGAAAAATATATTCCTAGAAAGTTCTCTGCAGCCAGCACAGCCAAATAAACAAATTAGACTAACCTTGGGTTTAGGACATGTCGAATGTCATCTAATGAAGGATCATTAATTTCATATCCATCAGGAAGACAGTAGACTTTTTCAGTTCGGAGATTGATATAAACATGGTGTCCTGCTTCCAGGCTATGTGTATATGCATGAGACTTCTTCCCTCTCCCTTGGTAATATTTCCCACAAACCAAACATGCATACACATTTAAATTTGACAGGGAGACAGAACAGAACTTCTCAAAATCAAAATCCAAAACCTGCACACATCATCAAAATTCAAATATGCTGAAAGCCAGCCAACTTACTCCCTAGTCTACAATGGACCAGGTAAGTCAAATACCTGTCTATTAACAGTATCGAGATAAGGACAGTCCTTCCGAACCTCAACCTGGCGACTGTTTCTTCCACCAAATAGTTGTTCATGTGAATCATCTTCGTCGCCACTATCATCGGCCTCTCCATATTCATGCCCATTATGCTGGGACCCATCATTCCTCCGCTCGTTAACACCATCCCTTTCCTTTCTATCATAATCTTCCTCCTCATCAATGTCAGCATAATTATTGGCCAAACCAGAAAGAGGATTTGCAATGGAGACAGGAGGAGGAGAGGGGGAAGGATCCTCATCCAGCCTTTGCCTTTTTGACTCAACATCAACCTCTTCATCATCTACCCTGTCACCACTTTCCCTTTCCCTTTTTGATGCCATGCTCTCTCCTAAATCACTTCCAATTCAATACCAGAGAAAACTTCAATATAAAAGGCAATTCAAGACATTAAAATTCAAATCACCTACAAATACCGACACTAAAAGAATGGAAGAAAAAAGAAGACAGGTGAATAGAAAGTCAACAAAAAAAAAAAGTAAAATTTTCTCTTATCCAACAAAGGGACCTACTAAAAGGGATAGTGAAACAAGCATAATATGCTGTGGCTAAAAACTCACAAATAGTACTAAAAAAATGCAGATAATTGAGATTATGAGGTGTATGAATACCTAATCGTTGACGCTTGAACTACAATTAGGCTTGTGGGCGTCAACGATTTAGTGAGGTGCGAGCTTCACTGAAGAACGAGAAAGAGAATCTGACACTTGTTCTGATTCGGAGAAGAAATGGCGAACCCTGAAGTGAGCCAAAACGACGTTGTCGAAGGCGCTAGAGTAAGAAGAAGTATTTGTGAAAATGGGCCACTTTATGGGCCTCGTCAATTTCTTACGTTCATCCGTGGGCTTTACAGTTGAACAAGCATTAGTGCCGGGGCATTAATGAACCTATGCGTCCATTGTAAATCGTAAAAATTAAATAAACTAAATATCAAAATTATTTATTTTTCATTATTAAATTAGATTGAATTAAAAAAATATTTTTAAGATAAATCATCTACCTAAGTGTATCTACATGTATATAATTTTATTTATAAAGTGTATTATTTACATTTATATAAATAGATTTTTACAAAATACTATATCAAATTTTTTATAAGTTTATTTACTCTAATTTTTTTATACAGTATTATTTTTTACTATATAATTTTTATGTTTTATATTAAAGAGAGAGTTTCTCATAAGAAATACTTCAAAATATTAAGAACTGGAAATTGTCGTTGTAATTATGTATGAAAACGTATTGGTACTTTTGAAACCCTTCAAATATTTTAATTAATTATTCATAATTTAGACTATTGTGTGACTTGTGATGATATATTGAATATTTCTTATACGATATTTATTATATCTATACATTATTATTTAATCAACAATGTAAAATATATTACGAATGTAATTTTTATATTAATTATATAAAAATTAACAATTAACTATATATATATATATATATATATATATATATAACAATGATAAAATGATAAAATTACTCTTTTATAAAAACTAATATATATTTTTAAAAATATATTTAAATTTAAATCTTTGACTTTTAAATATATATATATATATATATATATATATTAAAAATAAAAATATTTTTTATGTTCACATTATATTAAATTATAATAATTTTATTTAATATTTTTACAATTAAATTTTATTTTTAAGTAAGAAAAATTAAAACAAAAAATTATAAAAAATAAAAGTTATATTTTATAAAAATGGTCAAAATATTTTCTTATAAGTTTTCTAAAAATATATACTTTTGTTAACAATTTTTTTATAGATTTATATATATATATATATATATATATATATTCTTTTCTTAAACTGATTTTTATTAAAAATATATACATATTTTTTATAAAAATTATTAAAATTATATTCCTTAAATAATTATTTATTATAAAATTTTAAAAATATATAAAATATGAGTAAAAAATGATCAAAAAATTTACTATATTTTAATATTTTATCACCTTAGCGGAAAAAATTGAACTAGAATAATAAATTAAAATAAGTTAAAAGAATAAATTATTATAGAATAAGATAAGATAAACTATTTTATTTTATTTTATCATTTTCATCTGACAATAAAATAGATTTTTAATATGTTAAAATAAATAATTTTTTAACACGTGTCGTTCATAAATGGCAAAAATAAATAATAAATCCAATTCAAAATAGGGTTCCTTACCGAAATATAACAATAGTTGTTATATTATATTTTTAATTATAATATTATAAGGTTATATATTTGTTAATTTATTTAAATATTGGTCTGCATACTTGAGTCTATAGTTATGAAATGGATCATGATTTTTACTCATCATGGATTACAATTTACAAGCAAGGTCAAGTTACTCATCATGTTTTATTAAGTACTTATAATTTCTTATTAAAAATATAACATTTATTATATTTAAGATTTAAGATGATAACAAAAAATTTATAAACATTTACTATCTTTTATTTAATAAGCCCTCCACTCTAGGATTCAAGGTTTACATTCTCAACTAATATATCTAACTTGCAATTAGTACACGCCAAATTATAATAAGTTAAGTCAACATTCATTTCTTAATTTATTGTTAAAAAATTAAAATAAAATAATATATTAAATATAAAATGTTGTTTAAATTTTAATTTTCAAAGTTAATAAGTTAAAATATTATAGTTAAGTTGAGTTAGTTTATTTTAATTAAAACACACCATTCATGATTAAAAAAAGAGAGAGAGAGAGAGAAACCATATAAAAATGGTTTTATTCCTCATTTTTATCCCTTACAATTCACACATGCTTTCTCCCTTTCTTCTTGTTTTCTCTTTGTAACATATTATTGTTATTATTTAAAATTTATTAAAATTATATAAATCTTACTTTTTTTACTTCTAAACTAATGATTTCTTGTCATATTTTTAAATTTTTTAATAAATTTTTATCAATAATAATAAAAAATTATTAAATAGTATCTTGCTAGCATTGTTTCTTGTTTTATTTTTATTAATTTTGTTCTTCTTATTCTTTCTTAAGTATCTACTTTTTCTAATTTAGTTTTTTACATTCTTAAAAAATAATACAACTTCTTTATTTTTCTCTTTAACATAAATAGTCTTTTGAGATAAAGGTATTACTCTAAAAAAACATATATATCATCCATTGAAAAAAAAAAATATTTTAAAATTTTTAAAGTATGTTTACATCCTTGAAATATAATAGAAATTAGTTATTTGCATATTTTATTTGTAGGAAAGAGATATTTTAAGTTTTTAAGTACAAATTTAAATCTAAATACTTTTCTAAAACTTTGTTAAATGCTATTTGTATCTAAATTTGGTCACTAGCTATTTTATAGTTCCAAAATAATTATTAAAAATGATTTAGTAATTTTTCATTACTCAATAATTAATATTTATATTATTTATCATGTAATATTTTTCATAAATTATTTATTTAAAAAAAGTTTTAAATTTATTCTTTAATCATATGAAGACCTATTGTTATAAGTATTATGTTTAATTACGTGAGTTTGGTAAAATGTGACAGAAATAATTATTTTAGCTTTCTTTAATAATATTTATTTATAAAACGTATGTATTGAGATTTTTATTATTAAAATAAAATTGATTTATGTATTAGAACAATTTTTACTGAGTAATATTTTTTTTTTTTTGAGAATCTATATTAGATCTTCATAATTGTTAATGGAAACAACAATCTAATGCCGAAAATTACATTATAAAAAGAAAAAATTACAAATTAGATGAAGTCATTAGGGCACAAAAAATTTAATAAGGTGGAGTTATCCTTGTTTAAATAAATCATGGTATAATGTATGAAAAAGATAACTTTCGTTACATAAAGTTATCCCTAAAAAAAATGTTGTCCTTCAAATAAAAGAGTTATCAACTAAGTGAAGTTGTCTTGCATTTTAATTTTTTAATAAGTGACTTGCATAGTATTATTTATATCTTTTATTTAAGAAATTATTATTTAATTTTTATGAATATACATACTTCAATATAATAACTGAGATTGAAAGAACATTTTTATTTAACTGTGTAAATTTGTAAACTTTTAATTTGTTATCAAACTTTTTAGAGAGCTAATGAATTTTTGTTTTAAATAGGCTTTTTAAGTAAATTCTAAAGTCAAAACTAATCATGTGTTATATTTTTTTTATTGAATTTTTGTGACTTATTCTTATTTATTTATTATTTTTATATTATTAGATAGAACAATTGTGAATTACAAGAAACATTAATGTATCTCAAGAAAATCTTCATTGATAGGCTCTCATTATTTTGACGATTTTATTCTATTTTGCTTTCATTATATTTTAGATTTTATGTAACTAATCAAGGAGTTAAATATTATCTTGGCTATGTAATACATGTTTTAGTATTAATATTACAAACATATTGAATTCTACTTATTATAGTTGAATTATAGACTAACTCTTAACGATTATCTTGTTTTAAAATTATGAAATAGAGAAAACTTTATTGAAATATTAACAAATTTATCGTATTTCTTATTCAGAAAAAAAAAATTGTCATTTCATATATTACTTCCAAATAAGCTTGTTAAGTTGTGTGAAATTTTTAAAAAACTTAGCATATGAATTGGTTGAAAGCTCAATTTGAGTTGTGACATCAATAGCTTCATCAATATTTTTATAGTTTACCTATGTTTTCTATCTTTATAAATATTGAGTATTGTCTGATAAGTTCTTATAAAATCTTTTTATTAAGATTTAGTCCCTTAAAAGTTAAGAAATTATAATTTAGTCTCTGTCATCAACTTCTTTATGTTAAATGGTGAGCTGATTGATAGAAAATCAGCTCAACACTTTCACGTGTCATGTTATTTAATTTTATAATATTTTATTATTTAAAATTAATATTTACAAATAAGTTTTTGAATACATTTTTTATATTTACAAAAAAAAAGTTTTCTATATGTTTTATATAAATAGGTCTGACTTATTTAACAATTTTTAAAACTTAAGTCTAGTCTATTATCTATCATATACTTTTTTTTAAGTTTAATTTAGCCTTTTTAAAAGCCTACATTGACTTATTAGCTTTTTTATTGACCTACTTAATAAAGAAAAAGAGTTACATATGATATAATATAAATAAGTGTACAAGAAGATAATGAAGGAGATGAGATGAACCAACGATAAATGTAATTGAGACATCGCAAATGTAAATTAGCGTTATATTTATAAGATATATGCAAGAGACTCTAGCAAGAAAGGCTTCCTCTCTTAAAAAGTATGTAGTAGAGATACTTTTCAACTCTAATGAAAAAGATTAAAAATTTTAATTTAAGATTTTATTTATTTTAAAATTTAATTTATTTAATATATTATTATATTATAATTTTTATATAAAATTATTTAATATATAATTATAAATTTTATAAGTTTTAAATAGATAATCCTAATAAGTTTTTTCTTAAGCTCAAGCTTGACATATTTAATTAATTAAAATTTTTAAAAAACTTAAATTAAGCCTATTAATTAAACATATTAAGCTGAACTAAGCTTTAAAAAGGTTAAGTCATAGGTCCCTATCAAATAATCTGACCTATTTCTATCCCTATCTACTATTCTCCTTCTCTTTCCTATAACCCCTCTCACCCCTTCTCCCTCTCCCTCCCCAACTTTAATCCCTCATTTTTCCTTTTCCCACTCTCCCACCCCACACTTTCCCCCACCACACACCTCTACCTTCAACTCTATACATTCCTCCGCTT